TAACTTGTATATACAGTACGTTTTTACTGTAAATTCCTGTTATCAAAAACCCTTTATTTTTCTTACTTATTTTTTTTTTAATTTTTATACTTTAATTACTAACATCATGAATAATAAGGGGAAGAGAAATGTTAAATTCAACATGTTTTTCCCTTGATAGATAAAATGTAATAAATGAATAAAAACACCCCCTAGCCATTTCTCCGTCTCCACTCGAATTTGCTGGTGAGCTTCCAGTAACCCCCTTAACACAAGATTTAAGTATGCTTTACCAGGTAAACAACCTTTAATCAGGCTTAACGCGTGCCTCAAGAGCTGGGAGATAACTGATAGTGCGATGACTCAGACTGGGCCTGTGGTTATAAATGTGTATATGTTGAAATTGACACATGTCATTAAAGATAACGCTAAACATTATAACACATTTAATCGCGTATATTGAATCATAAAACGCCTGATAAAATGCCTTATCGGTCCCGTTTGTTCGTCCATATAAATGACATCCCTTTGATATCAAAGCCAAACTGTCCAGCTAGGGCTAACGTGGACCTTACAAACATTAAACATGTCAGCGTTTGTGATATTTGTGGCATTACTTCTTTTGGCGTCTACTGGAGCTACGGTGCAAAAGCTAGATGTATTAAACACTGAATTTGGGTTGGCTATTTACAAGCAGTTGACCGCCGATCCAGAGGTTAAAGACATTTTTTTCTCGCCTATTAGCATCTCCACCGCTTTGGCCATGCTACAACTGGGCACTAACGGCACTACTGAAGATCAGATAAACCGTGCGATGAAATTCGACACACTCAGCCAAAACGAGAACGTTGCTGCTCTTTTCCGCGACCTGAACGCTAAACTTTATAATGCAAGCAACAACTACACGTTGAAATCCGCCAACAGGTTCTTTGGGAGCAAACGCTTTCCATTTCGACAAACATTCCTTAGCGACATGCGAGACTATTTTCATGCAGAACCCGAGTATGTGGATTTCACCGCAAATCCCGAAGGGTCTCGCGTGCATATTAATGACTGGGTAGGAAATCAGACAGATGATAAGATCAAAGAACTTATGGCAAAGGGAACAGTTACCAAAAGCACTGTCTTTGTTTTGGCCAATGCCATATACTTCAAAGGACAGTGGAATATGTCATTTAACTCCACCATGACATCTACCTTACCTTTCAGAAGCAAAGGACAGGAGGTAGGTCTGTCTACGTTTTGGTTATTCATGCTAGTTTTCTTTATTTTAATGCTCACACGCCTAAAAAGAAAAAAAATCAGTCATTTTGCATACATATAATCCCGTTTTACTTTTTACTTGAATATCTTTATTTTCTAGTAAGACAGAGCCCTACTGTAGAACATTGTTTACACGACCGTCTCCTCTCCGGTATTAGTTCTAATTAATCTTCAGAAAAGTGATCACCTGAATATCATATTAATCATATTTCATAATATAGTTTCTAAATTAATTTCTGAATGCTTCTCGGAAGTACCAAAACAAGTTTCAATACGGTACGTTATTCTGATTTTAGGCAAAAGTTTCGATGATGAAAATGTTAGGCCAGACACACCGTTATGGTATAAGCACAAAATGGAACTGCCAAATACTAGAACTACCGTATACCGGATATGTCAGCATGTTGGTCTTTCTCCCCAATGAACCTGATGGCCTTCCTCAGCTTGAGAGTGCAATCAACAGTATTGAGCTTAACTCCCTGGTCAAAAATCTGACCAAAAGGCCCGTGGACGTCTATTTGCCCCGATTTGAACTCAAGGACGTTTCCATTAAGCTTGCGGACCATCTGAAGAAACTTGGAATGACGGATATGTTTGTGGACGGGGAAGCAGACCTGAGTGGTATAGGCGGTGCTCCGGGACAATTGTTCATATCTACAGCTGTTCATCAAGCATATGTTAAAGTGGACGAAGAAGGTAAGTGAAGAAATTTACAGTGTCACTTATCATTAAAGGGATAATAACTCTTCGTTTCGGCCAAAAAATGAATTTTCCTGGAGTAAACAACAATTTTCCCATACTTACCATTGGTTTATGAATCCATTTTTACATTCAAAAATAGTCCCTGGTTTTTTTCTAAAAAGTTTGGTTTTTTGTTAAAATCTCTTAAGAGATTTTAACAGAGTATAGCCATCAATGGAGGTCGCGTGGTCTAAAGACAAGCTCAGACATCAGAATAATAGCTATAACTGCCGTTTTTGCAGTAAAACAGAATATATTATATTTCTATGAGTTATTCACAATGATTTTATTGTGAAATGTAGATCTCATACGAAGAGTTATTATCCCTTTAAACATCTTTCTTTGAAAATATATCATTACTTCATTTTCGACTATTCAAATCGTTAGTGTCCAATGACTGGATATAAAACTTGAAAGTAAAATAGTGCACGGTACTACATTGTACTACTTGGCATCATATCATGTAAAAACATAATATCGTATAATATCATGCCGAGGTTTATTGATAAAATGTCTGTCAATTCCAAGTTCATGTATTGAATGAGATTGATGATATTTCTTTATAACAAAAAACAAATAAAACCTACGGCCACAGGGTATTTTCAATTGCAGCACACATTTTATATATGGAATGGACTACCTTCACACATTCAGACTATTGATAGTGTTGAAGTTTTTAAAAAAGACTTGAAAACACTCTTATTTGCACAGTACTTTAACTAAAACGTGATACTTGAAATTATATATTTTCTCATATTATCAGAAAATGTTTTATTGTTTAGACCATTACTATTATAACCAGCATTGATCATTTTAATTGTTTTATTCACCTCAGCTTTTATTATTTATATGATTACTTGTAATTCTGATAATTTTATTTGTAAACAACACTGAGACGGTAGTGTAGTGCGGTTTTTAAGAAATAATAATAATAATAATAATAATAATTATTATATTTGCAATATACCTATACCTAAACATAAAATTGCATATTCGTTGCAATGCACAGCGTGCACTGATGTGACTGTGCATAGACAAAGATATAGAATATATCAGCGGATTATTGTGTACTGAATTCATTATCATTCTTTGTATTTGAACACCANATATAGCCGACACTTTACGTATGCATCCTGTCAATCTTTTACCTGATAATATTCAGGGATCTTAGTCAATAACTTTTATGATGATTGTGCAATTTAAAATTTGGGAATTTAAAAATATTTAACAAAAAATGTTTATTAGCTTGGTGGTTGTTCATATATGATAATTATAAAAACTAAAAAAAAAAAAAACAAGCTGGAATATTTTCATACCATTGGCTCATGGCCAACCTTGAGGTAGGCCTTCATCAGACTGATGTGAGTAGATGTTATAACTCACTGACCACTTAGTGGTGTAGCGGCCAGGACACAAATGTTTTGTTCAAATTAATATTTATGTTACGTTATTTTATTAGTTTATTCATTTGCCAAGAACATGGACGCTTACACCATGAACGATTCTTCAAGGTGATAACTGATAGAAAGTTCTTATATCAGCATCATGGTTCTGACACTTAATTGTCTCACAGTCAGAATAAAGTGTTTAGCCCTCAGTATTTGTTGTTTCTGTTGTTTTTATAGTGTATAGCGCGAGTGTCATGGCATTAAATATTACGTAACAGCGGTTTAAAACATAAACTATACTGATGTTAAATACGGTGATATAACAGTATGTATCCTTGCTTTGTTAATTGCATTAGTCCTTTGATATTTAAAGTGAGCGTTTTGTACTAACCCATTGTTAGGCATATTGTTATATCTGATATGTCAGAAAAGATTAACTAGTAACTGCACTCTTTCAATATAATGGTTTTATATAACCTGTATTTCTCTTTGATTTCTACAGAGGTAAAGAAGGTAAAGGAATGTCCATTAAATTGAAAGGACACCACCAAATGTCGCCAAATTTACACACAATTATCATTAGAATATGCTCGATATAGGTTCCATGTCTAACAGCGTGTGTCTACCCGTGCAGCGGTTGCAAAAAAAAATCAACTGTCAAGCAATTTAATGGCTCTTAAGGGCTGGATGTTTCCGGTAATGCCAACAAAATGTAGATATTATACGTTAATTATATCCTTAAAATTCAGTTCATTTTAGGAAATACAACTAAAGGACTTATTTTCAGCAATAAAACACATGCGTGTTGTCTCAGTCTCTACGGCCCTTTTCTGTTGAGCGATACACTTTTCTATACCAGTTTAACTGGTCTGAACACACAATTACGCTGTCGGGGGTTTAACCCCCTCCCTTCCTCCCCATACCACAAGCCCCATTGTACCAAGCAAAATTAATCCAATAAACTTGCTGTATAGAGCGCAGGGGCTCCGTTAAGGATATTGCATCCCTTTGCCAAAACACCTTATTTACAACCTTACAAACATTCTTTTGTATAACAGATAAATCTTTAGTGTTCAGTGACTACGTTAATTAACATTTTCGCGTATGGCATCTTACTGGTGACGTCATAATTACGATTTTGGGGTAAAAATAAGAAAAGCGGTTTCTCAATTTTCACCTTTATCTAAGCACCAACGAATACCGTTTGAATGCCAAATTAATGAGACTATTCATTATTCTAAAACCTTGTCACCGATTTTTCTTAGAATTCTCAGTTCAGATTTTATCGTTAATAAAGCAAAACTGCCTTTGTTTAATGAAAATCTGCAATTATGGGCTCATAAATTTATAACAAATACATTTAAACCAAAATGACGGCAAGAGATTGTGACCCATACAATTGTTGTAAACTATGCCAATTTTGGTGATACAATCATGTTCAGGGATAAAGTTACGCCCCATTACGATTACTGCAGGAAGAACCTCATTTTCAGTATCGATGACAAAAAAGGATTACAACATACCTCAAGGCGATCTCTCTTTCTTAACTGTCTTTCAGACTGGTACCGCACAGAAAAGTGTACCACTCGAGATGAAAAGGGTATTTAACTCTGTTAATATTTTAACCAATCAATCAGACCTGACGTCGCAGTTTTTACCTGCGTAGCCAGGGTCACAGTCACATTTATAACCGTTAACCAAATCAATACATATCCCATACCAGCATGGCCAGCTGTCGCATTCGTTAACTTCATTCTCACACTTCATCCCGATGAACCCCGCCTTGCAGCGACACACATGACCGTCACTGGGACTGTAGTCACATCTACCACCGTTCTGACACAGGCATCGCTCACAGTGGGCCCCGGTCCACAATTTTGGGCACGTGCACTGGAATGTTCCATCGAGTCGTGTGGTACAGCGTCCGCCGTGAAGACAGGGAGAACTGGCGCAAGGGTCTACACGGGTTTGGCAGTGGGTTCCTGTGTGGGTGGCCGGACAGGTGCAGTTGTATCCCCCAAGCTTCTGTTCGCAAGTGGACCCATGCTGACATGGGTTGGGCTGACAGAATTCGATTAGGTTCTCACAATACTTGCCAGAGTGAAATGGAGGACATATACATTGGAAGTCACCAAGCTGTTTTTTAAATGTACCGGTAGCGCCATAATCAGTCTCCTTGCATTGTGCGCCGTTTTTGCAGGGATTTAAAGAACATGGTGTTGTTGTAGATGTACTTCCTGTAAAAAAAAAAACAACATTAAATTGATCCCAGTCAGGGCATGCTTATAAATCATCCTATAATTAAAAGACGAGTGTCTATTTTTTTAAATAGTTAAGACTCATAAAACGAGGAACTATAGTAATTATAAATTGCTGTCAATGTTCTAAATGCATATTTGTTATTTTTTCGCCAACATTTCCCCAGCTGTCTCTTTAAATCCTGTAAACACGAAATGGCTTTTATAACACATCCCTGATAAGTGTGGTAAATTTACTCTCTTAAAACCCTCTTAAAGTGTATTTAGAAGGGACATGCCACATGTACATACACGTGAGATACAAACTTGTGTGTAATACATGTAGTAAAACAGTACTAGTACAAGGTATTATGGGCCATTGTGCCATATTATCTAATTGTGTTTCCATATTTTTTATGATTTCTGATGGTACACAGCACCTTTGGGCATTTCTACGTTTTATTCCAAAATACTGTCCACGAGTTTGCTTCCTGTCGAATTGATAACTTGTAAAATTGTGACTGTGGACAGTGGACTACTAGCTTGCGTCTTGCCCAAATGCTACGTTTTTTAAAGAAATAATGTTTAAATGGAAATGTGAACTGTACCTTGCGTATATTCGTCCCTATATCCTTATTTCTGACACAGTTATACACATAATTATCACCTATTATTAATAAAATTTAATTTACCTATAGGTATGTCCAGCCTTTATTCCCGGCCTGTCCAAACGTAGAGGATGTTTTGAATCATGCAAAAAAGTTACTAAAATGGCTGCTAAGGACAGCACTAGCATGCCCCCCATGCCTATGGTAAATATACTATCTTATCATGCCAATATAAACCATTTATCAGTGCGATATTGATAAATACCTAAGAATTATGAGCTCCAGTATATTCAGTCCCCATGTTGTTTTCTATCACTTACCATTGGGTCGAATGCATCTATAGCCCCCGTTAAAAGGTTGACACATCACTGGTTGTCCTGGTTCTTTTTCTGGGCATGGGTTCGGAAAACAAGGATCTTGAAAACATTAGAAATACACGTGATGCCAAATGTTTAATCATTTATATATACTAGCTCATTACCATAGAGATGATGAGAAAATAGTTAAATCTAATACTAATTGAAACGGAGACCCCGTCGACCCAACCTCATCGCAATATCTTCGGGTCAACTGATGTTGAGTTGTTACCAATGACTCGTGGTGACGTTCTGCCCTTGACTTTGTAGAAGACCCTGTCATAAGGTCGAAACGTCTTCATCTCAATTTCAACGTAAGATTTAAGTTTTGTTTTCTCATTAACGCAGTATAATCTAACTTGATAATTTAAGTTCTCACTTTCAATTCATTTCCAGTTTCATTATCTTTGTAAAGTTAGAACAAATCAAATGGTTACTTTAAATAATGTACATTTCTTACATATTCAATGTCTTATCCAGCTAGCTTAAAATTCTACTTGGAACTAAAAGTAGGTTAACGTCTTTTTTTAGACAAATAATTTTATCCAATTTTAAGATGTACGTATACTCCTTTAGCCAATGCATTTATACCCACCTTTTGTCGCCTTTGTAACCGTCGTGGTGGGCAGAGTCGTGGTGGTACTGGTAGTTAGTAATACTCCACACGTATCTCCACTGTAACCAACAGGACAAATACAGGCGTATCCGTCCACCTTATCCACGCATGTACCATCATTTAAGCACGGGTTGGAGGAACATTCATTAATGTCTATCAGGCAGGTTGGCCCCGTATATCCAGCCTGACAGAGACAAGTAAAACTATCCATTCCGTCGAGACACAGTCCTTTGCTGCAGGGGTTAGACGCACATTGATCGACGTTTGTCTGACAGTTAGTCCCTGTATAACCAACTGGGCAGTTGCACGTGTACCCGTTTGCACCATCCAGACAGGTACCCCCGCTACCACATGGATTAGATGAACATTCATCGACATTGGTTTCACAATGCAAACCAATATATCCCGCTAAACAATTGCATTTGTACCTGCCAATATCGTCGGTGCAAGTTGCGCCGTTCTTACAAGGGTTGGAGGCACATTCGTTTATGTTGATTTCGCATGTTGGACCAGCTAAACCAGAGACACACATACAAGTGAAACTGTTTATACCATCGAAACAAAGACCATTCTTACACGGATTAGAGGCACACTCATAGATATCAGTCTCGCAGTTTGATCCAGTAAAACCGGACGGGCAATTGCAGATGTATCTATTGATTGCATCTTTGCAACTGCCGCCATTTTGGCAAGGGTTTGATTTGCACTCATCAACGTTAGTTTCACAGATAAGGCCGGCAAATCCAGGTTTGCATCCACATGTAAATCCATTCACACCATCAATACACGTTGCACCATTCATGCAAGGGTTAGAGGAACATTCGTCGATATTAGTGTCACATGTACGTCCATGAATTCCAGTTTTGCATGAACATGTAAATCCATTCACACCATCAATACATGTTGCACCATTCTTGCAAGGGTGAGAGGCACATTCATCTATATTTGTTTCACAGTGGACACCGGTAAAACCAGCTGGGCAGGTGCATATGAATCCATTGACTCTGTCGACACATCCACCTCCATTTTTGCAAGGACCAGAGGCACACTCGTCGATGTTTGTTTCACAACGTTTGCCAGTGAAACCTGCCGGACAGATGCACGTGTATCCATTTACTGCATCTATGCAAATTCCTTTGGGACATGGGTTCGAGGAACATTCATTTACATTCAAACTGCAAGTTAAACCCGAAAATCCCGTTATGCATTCACAAACGAATCCATTGATTTTATCTTTGCAGACGGTACCATTTTTGCAAGGCTGGGAGGCACATTCGTCTATATTTGTTTCACATTGGACACCGGTGAACCCAGCTGGGCAAGAACATTCATATCCATCCGCAGTGTTTGTACATTTACCGCCATTTTGACATGGGGATGTATAGCACTCTGGAATGGATGGAAATTGACCCTTAATATGTGATACTACCATATATCATCTTCGTTTTTGAATCCGTATTTACTTAATAACTAGCTAACTAGGATATTGCTGTTACCTTACCAAAAAAAAATATATGTATATGATTCTCCTCTGTTAAACTCATAAAAATCTCTTCAAAATCGTTAATAAAGTAAAAAAATTCTTCATTTGATACTTATCCACAAAAATCATCTAAAAGCGTTTAGAAAGCCAAAAACATTTTGATTTTGTTTGCACAAAAACATAAACTATACCTACGTCTCTTTTCACAGTTGCTGCCATGAAAGCCAGAAGGACATTCACACGTATAACCAGTGTTCTCTGCGGAAGTCGCATTCCCCTTCGGTTTAATGAAAGCGACGATCAGCCCCGGGATCAAGCTGCCTTTACTCCATTGGCTTCTTTTATCATCAGCCTCCTTGCATTTTCCGCCGTTTTTACAGGGGTTTGAAGAACAGATCGTTGCTGTAGATGTTGGTTTTGAAGTTGTACTTACTGTAAAAATGATTATAATGATAATAATACACACTATATCCAGCAGTGAGGACGGAGAGCCACTATAATAATAATTCACCCGATAAGATGTTATGGTGTTGAATTAAGTCGCCATAACTTAACTGAAAATACACCTTAACAGTGCTGGGTTTATAATTTGGTCAAATACAGTGCAATTAAATGTAAGTTAATTAATCTCATTGGGATCGAATCGTACACGTACACACACTTGCACAACAACCGAGAATGACTCGAGAGTTTGAAATTTCAATTATTTTACATCGAATTTATAACTTATTTTGAAAAGATCGTGACGTAAGACAAAGGTTATTGAAAAAAATCCCCCTCTGCCTTAAATTTGTTTTGGGGTGGTCGGCTCATGCCTTGGTTTAACTACCTCTAATCAAAATAACACGATCCAAGGCTGGGCCCCTGGGGACGTGTGTTTTGACAGCGCCCCTAGTTAAAAGCTTTGAGATTGTTTGTGGGACGCTCGGGTTTGAGAGTTAATACTCTAATTCCTTTGGATTTTCCTCCGTTACGCTTATGTGAAGGAGTGATATGATATGTCCGTTTATAGATATATCTGATGGAATGAATGTGCGTAGCCGTGTACAGCGTACTGCGTGAGGCGTCTCACCTCAGCGTGGTGTAGAAAGAGACGTCTCACCTCTGTGTGAGAGTGACCAGAGAAAGGCTGTACGAGAGACGCACAGCCTGGAGGGGGAGGGGGGGACTGGTTGCACCAGTCCACCCTCCCCCTTCTCTCGACAGGCGAGACGCCTCTATCGTGCCAATTACGAAATGCCCTTTTCAGGGCACCCTATGTATATCGGTATCTATAAATCTCATACTACATGTATGTAGGCGAGACACCTACCTGCCTATCAGAGACGATCTTTCCTCAGAATAAGGGCGAGAAGCCTAACACACTCTAAAAGCCGCACTCAACTCTGCAAGGGGCGCTGTCAAAACACACGTCCTCGGAGGCCCAGCTCTGAATCGTGTTATTTTGGTAAAGTGGAATCTAACTAGGGCATGAGCCGACCACCCCCAAACCCCTCAAACATTTTATCTTTTTTTTTTCATCTCGGACTCTGCAGCTGATGAAGGTCACATGTTGACCGAAAATCGCTTTCTGCAACCAGTCCACCCTCCCCTCGACAGGCGAGACGCTTCTATCGTGCCAATCACAAAATGCCCTTTTCAGGGCACCCTATGTAGATCGGTATCTATAAATCTCATACTATGTAGGTGAGACACCTACCCTCCTATCAGAGACGATCTTTCCTCATAATAAAGGCGAGAAGCCTAACACACTCTAAGAGTCGCTCTCTACTCTGCACGGAATGTCCTTTTCAGGGCACCCTATATATATATAAGTGACTATAAATCTCATACCAGGCAGGCGAGACACCTACATGTACCTTCCTATCAGAGACAATCGTTGCTCATAATTAAGGCGAAAAGCCTAAACACCCTAAGAGCCGCTTTCTACTCTTCAAGGGGCGCTGTAAAAACACACGTCCTCAGAGGCCCAGCTCTGAATCGTGTTATTTGGGTAAAGTGGAATCTAACTAGGACATGAGCCCACCACCCCCAACACCAAAGGCGTTTTCCCTTGTGCGTCCACCTTAGCACAACAACGCAGATTCCAAGTAAGTATACTCACCACATCATCTCCCAAGGTTTTAATATGCGTTGGCACTTATGTGTGACAAAGTTTAAGCTTATTTAGATAAAACAAAACAGATCCTAAACTACATTAAGATAAGAAAGCAAAACATATTTACCTGCCCGCTTCTCGCAAACAAACCGTCGTGATTGCCCACAGTCATCGTCTCGTATGTTTAAAGTGTCGGTTGATTTTATATACCCACACGTGCTTCTTTTTCCTGAAATCACACGATTTATCTTAGTTTGAGGACACTTTGATAACGTTCAGAATGTTCTTAAAATGTAATAAAATGTTTGTGCGCTCAAATGCTCACAAACTCAGTGAAACTCTGTTTTTGCTCCAGAGGAAATGAAAAATTTTAAAATTCCAAATGAGAAGAAATATGCTATTTATTTATTTATTTATTTATTTATTTATTTATTTATCTTTTCAAACTAACATTGATCAATCCGTGGTGTTACGTGTGCGAGTCATGGCCCACAAGGATTAATAAAAGACCCGAGTGGAAAACAAATATATCATTAATGTAATGGAATACTCACTAATCCTACACTTGTCGTCAGAAATGGCTAGATATCTGTAGTAAGTCCCCGTCACAGAACTGAAAATCAAAGACAAAGACCAAGCTTCAAACCAAGACGAATATCATACATAGGCATAATAAAGTTCTTAACTATACATGTATATTACATATGGTCACCATCCTCCATTGTAAGTGCGCTTTGTATGCGTAACAGTAATTTGGGATGTCCAAATCGGTTAAATAAATAACCTATTCCGAGATATGGCTCGGACAATTTCGTTTATTGTCTCCCCTGTTGTCTCAGTTAGTGATTCAGGATACAGGATATTGTTGCTGGTATTGGGGGTTGGGGGAGGGGGGGGGGGCAGCTATAGAGTAGTTCGTAGGCGAGGTCAGCGGTACCTCCATCTGTAGGCTTCAGTGTTGGGGATATTGTTTGGATATGACCCTTTTTTTCTTGTGGTGTTTTTGTTTACTAATTTATTTATTATTATTATTATTATTGGTTATTGGGTTGGACAGGGCTTTACTTTGTACGAGAGGTACAAGCAGAGCTATGTGGGGAGGGCATGTGAATCACTGTGCCCCTCAATGGATCTGTTTTTATATATTTTGACTGCAAATATAGAGTGCAAAAAAGGTTCATTCAAGTTATATAATATTGCACAATATAAACTTTCACTAAGCCGTCGCTACTGTCGCTACTGCCGCTCCTGTACCTTGATAAAGCAACATAACTTGTTAAACAGGCAGTTTAATTGTGCATAGTTACCTGGGTTTCCATGTTAATGACGATCTTCTGATCCTGAAACCAACCCACGCTTCTCCCACGTCCTTTATCATACCGAACAAAAAATTCTTCTCGTCACTACTGTCAGCCACGGCAAGGGATCCCCCATAACGCTGGCAGGCTTTCTGAGCCTCTTCCCATGTCTGTCTGCTGCAGAGTAGTCTATAGAGCGAGCGAGGATTGCCTCTTGGATGCCCAACCCACCGGGAGTTTGAACATAAACCTGACAAAGAGATAATTGGCTGTTGTCTTGCCTTTTTTTTTGTGCGTGTGTGTGTGTGTATGTGTGTGTGTATGTGTGTGTGTGTGTGTACCTGAAATCTGCTTATAGGCCTACATGTGCATGTGAAATAAAGGTAATATTCTCCTTTTTCTTTTGAATTTGCTTTTTTTTCATACGAAAAGCCAAGTGACGACAAAGGAATGTAGATCTTTTGTTTATAGAATGGTGTGTATTTTAATTTATGAAGGCGATAGAGTGTTCGTGGAACCAGTAACCCATTTTTTCCGAGTTGTCTCTTTAATTTTCTGTAAACATGCACAAGCAACACTTCCCCAACACCTAAAGTAAATACATTTTCTCAAGTCTCTTTTAATATGACTAGAGAAGGTATATCATACGTGTCACACATAAAAACAAGTCCGATACGAAGTAATGTGTGTTACATGTACGTGTAGCAAAACATATCATAAGGTATTTTAGACCATTATGTGCTATTATCCAATAATTGTATATTTCTAGGTTTTTTTCAACAAAATACTGTGCGACACTTGGCCACAAGTTTCCAAAATAGCAACTGATAACTTGTTAAATTGCCACTGACGACAGTGGACTACTAGACTGTTTCTTTTCAGAACGCTTAATTATAAAAAAAACAATGTACAGGTACGAGGAATGTATATATAGAAATATGAACGCTACCTTGTGAAAATCTGCCGTTACCCCATATAGCAAGGGAAATCGGACAGAAAATTGTAAAAACCCAAAGCTTTACAAGTATTTCCATCCCTGATGTCTTCTGTTCCCTTGGTGCATCGGGCAAGTGAGCTATCTCTCTAGGTGTCTTCAAAATCTAAGGTGTGTTTCCATGTAGCAAAAAATGACGTACCTGTCTTTGACCTTATTTGATATCCACCAACAAATGTTTAATCCTTTTTTTCTAATTAACATAAAGCTTAACCAAAATTAGTATTTGAAATAGAAAACTATTTATCTGATATCGGGCAGTGGAGTTTTTTCATCTTGAGGCGAACCAGGATCGCACTAAGAACAGCCTACTTTGCATGTCTGTGAGGAGAACTAGATGTGGACCAAAGTGTGTGCACGATAATGGTGTAGGTGTTACCGTGGCATCGCCCAACTGTTATGAAAAGAAGGCAAGTTGCTAAATATTACGTACGTCTTGATAAGTGTTAAAAGGTAAAATCAGCGATTTATTGGGGCAGGATGCCATACATTTCTTGATATAAAATTGGATTGCGAAATCAATATTTTCTTACATTTTATTAAAATAAAATTGGATCGCTAATTCATCATTTCCTTCATTGTCTTTGTCAACTTAACACTCTCTTCGTTATTTATTCATAAAAACAAAGTAAACGTATATTTTAGATCAGTTATTTAATGTCGTTCCATCCGAAAAGAATTTAGCACCTTCTTTTGATGCCATCATAATTAAAACCAGGTGCGCTTTACAATCTCTGATGACAATGCCTGCTTTGCCTTTAACAATTGAATCACGGCTACATAGACGTTTTAACCGCTTGAGTTTGCAAAATTTCGCCTATCAAGAAACAAGGACGGGATACACCACGAGGCTTCTATTATGTCGAGTTTCATTCGATGAACTAAATTTTCTAAAAAAACACCTTTCACTTGAAAGCGACCGTGAAACTGTTACAGGCTCAATAAAGGAGGCATGGTGTTCGCTTAGACTACAGAAAGGATGTTCCCGAGCTGATAGCCCTGATAACGCTATTGACATCGGCGATTACCGAAGTTTTTTCCCAGCAAACAAGTAATAAATAGCTCAATTAAGGAACACCACAACTGACTGCTATCACGTTCTGTACTCAGTTAAAATCCCACAAAAACCTGGGTTTTTCGTAAATTTCGCAGATTTCTACCGCAAATCCTGGTGTATGTATCAGAAAACGAACCTTCGGCATGGATTTTTTCGTACTTTGTCAAAAAATCTGAGAGCCAATATCACCACTTCATTTGTGACGTTGTTGTTTGTGGTTTTTTTTTTCAGTACCTGCTTATAAAATTTTTCAAATATTAAAACAAGTCTTTGTTTTTTTTTATTCATTAGTCAGTGGTTCATTTTACAGAGAGACAAACTGAAGCTGAGCTAAAAGTCCGTATGACCGCGAGAGGTTTCCGTGCCATTGGTGGGAGGGTAAATGCTGCCATGCACTTGATGCTATCCTCTCAGTAGACAAGTTTGATGAGTCCACACTGATTTAATTTTATCCTCTGGAGACCCAGAAACTAACGAGAAGACAAAAAAAAAAAAAAAAAAAAAAAAAAACAGCAAAAGTGACGCTTTTCCATAGTAAAGGCCCTACGCCCAAACAAACAAACCGTTACTCTAGTCTTTAAGTGGCTCTATAAACCAATATATCCCTGTTTGTTCACTGTGCGATTTTTTCCAGTACCTGATTATAAAATTGTTCAGTTGAAACAGTTCTATGTTTTGTATCCATCTGGCGGAATTTTCATAGAGGAAAATGCTAGACTAAACGACCACTCGTGCCATTGATGAGAGGGTAATGCTGCCATGCACTTGGTGCAATCCTCTGAATAAACAATACCGATAAGGCCACGCTGATTTAATTTCATGGACGACATCCGCTGCAGACCAAGGAACTAATGCGAAAGGGCAAAAAAAAAAAAAAAAAAAGGGAAAAAAAAAAAAAAAAAAAAAAAAAAAAAAAAAAAAAAAAAAAAAAAAAAAAAGATGTGGCAAAAGTAAATGAAAAGACAGTTCTGAGAATTAACACTTAATAGTCAGCAGCCATCTACTTTGTCTCAGTGTATGAAACAAAATAGTCTTTCTTCGCGCTGAGAATATTAAAGAATTTGCTCTCAATTCACATGCGTCACCTTTGTATCATACAAACAACTGTGAATATTTAGGGTCACCATATATCTCACCTCCTTCCCCGTCTTCTCGTTAAGTAGGTAGAGGTGCACTACAAAACACACAACATGCTGAAATAGCATTACCAGCATTATAAATATGCACTAATATTCTTCGTTTGCAAACGCCAAAACAAGGCATAAATCAATCATTGTCACCGTTATTTCAGAGTCCCGCTTGACATCTTCATAAAAATGGATTTAGTGCTTAAGTTGCATCGACCTTACCTTCACCTCTAACGTAAGATTGACTCGTTATTGGAGAATACGTTGTTATCTGTCTCTTCCCAGTAAACGACAATTATCCTTCATTCTTCCTCTAAAGCTACCGCCTCAAAAACATTGATAGTTGCTGTTTGTTACTGATTTACATATCTATTTATTTATTTTTTATTTTTATTTTTATTTATTTATACAAAATGCTTGACAAGAAAAGAATATACATTTCAAAGTAAATTATTTTAATTTTATTTAGAGAAAACTGCATTGTTTTTATCGACCTTCTATAATTTTCTAGAATATTTCTGTTTTTTTAAATCAAAGGTGTAAGATTGATGAAAAGGCAAAATGGAAGTGTAAAACAAATAATAATATAATTATATTGTTCATTTTCTAACATTTACAACGTCTGTGCAGCGTTTTATTTGCATTCAGTGAATGTAATTGAAGCTTAAAATGGGAGAACCTGTTGCATTTAGTTGTGACTTAATTTAATGCAAAAGGTGAAGCACTTACAAGTATCCCAAAAGTTATCGTAGAACGAACACCTTATCGTCATACACCCTAGACAGAGATCATAGGCCATCTCCAGTGAAAGGAAATGTTGTGAAATATTGATAGTGCTATCGCTAATTGAATTGGTTGGTGTCAGCAATGTTATCAGAGCTGATGAGTATAAATATCATCTGATGAACTGCCCACTCTTTAATCTATGTATTAGTTTATCGTCTGTACATACAAGGATCAAGAAATAATGTTAATGCATTTTGCAGGAACGGATGCAGGAGAGGCAATAGCCACGGGAGGCCCGTCCGCAATGAAGCTTGTGGAATTCAAAGCAGATCATCCTTTTATGTTCATGGTATACGGGAACATAGCACTGAAACCATTCTCTTTCTGGGGACACTTTTTGAGGCCCCGGGGAAGAGCATTACAGCTCTGAGATTTAATTAGCAGCAATACGTTTGTTCCAACTTTTTCTTTGCCTGTTGACAGTGTGTTTGACAATTTGATAAGGTTTTCAAAGTCCATGTTATAATTCATATGAACTGCATGTACTTAGAGGCATATGATTATAGTTGCAAAGTAGATTTGTTGCAAACCTGCCTAAATCAATTGTTACATGTACATTGCTAAATTTATTAAGAGTCCTGAATTGTGTTATATTCTCATAGTCCGACAAAAATGAAATATAAGTTATTTAGTTTACTTTTTTGTCTGCCCCAATGTCGATAATGACATTAAGATGCCTGCTGATTTTAATCCATTTTTAAGAAGACTTCCTAACGGCATGAGTTCCAGTTGCTAAATGAGCTCCAGCAAAATTATAATGACGTGTTCTTCATGCTAACCAATTAATAACTTTGTTGAAGATTTAGACTAAACTTGTGCATTTCAATATGAAAAGCGGGAAAATTGTTTTAAGTATATTGACCATATCATCAAGCCAACATTGGAATTAAACATTTATCATGGTTTTGAACGTCTGAACCTCTCAGTGTGAGTTGTTTGTAACCACGTGCCTCACAAATTCCCATTGCGTTTCCAATTAGCAACTCCAAACCGTATACTAGGTCTCTACCACCATCCACCTCAACTAGGGCGCCACTTGTCGGTGACTAGTCTGATTGATTTGTAGGGGATGGTTTTTTTAAACCAACTCGGCCTACATGTATAATTTTGTTCTCTCAACCTGCACACACAACGCGCGTATTGAAGTGTGTGTACAATTTAGGCTTGCCTGCAGGACTCGCAGCGAATATTCGATTTACACCGTAATACCAGTGCAATAAGCCACCACTGAACTGACATCTAAGACTGGCCAGACAGGACAAACAAATCAGTAGTTTGGTAAAACAAGACAAAAAACACACGCCACAGCAATCCCAATAGGTTGTTTCATCACCCTCATCAGTTCGTACGTACCATTTGGGGTCTTCTTTTAAGGGACGGATAGGGACGTTGCTCCCGTTATTGGTCTTTGTTGCCTGCATAGTGATTGGCTGGTGAACAATTTCTTCCTATCTTATAAGTAAGAAATTAAAATGTAGGGCTTACAAGGGCGATCAATATTGTACTCTTAAAGCCAAATATCTCTCAAATCAAAGAAATTACGAAGTTATACAGAGGCTGGTTAAAAGTCATATGTGGAGATTATGACAGTATGAAATAAGCACCCGCACGAAAATGCAGTAGTATCGAAGTAGCAAAGAAGCATTAACGCAGTAGTGGTTTGGAGCATATTTGCAGTAGAAATGCAGTATACCCTACTGCAATTCTACTTCAAAAATTACATAGGGTTGTACAGAGGAGGAGCATTAATGCAGTAGATTAGCAGCATGATAGCAGCATGTTTCAAATATGCTAATTAGCTCCCAATGCGAAGCAGATTTGAGGCATATTTGAAGTATGATTACAGTAGTCTACTGCGCTGGAGCATCTACTGCGTTTTCGTGCGGGCACTGACATTTGACCTATGTTTCAAGGTCAAATGGGCCAAATTATTGTAAAAAACTTTTGTAAAAAAAGAACAAAATAAGTATCTGTGTTTGTTTCTGTATTTTCTTTGTTTTGAACGACTGGTATGCTATTATGATGAAAAGAGACATCATTTTTAGACCATTTTTTTCCAAATGATATGCTGTTTTTTTCTCTTTTCAAGATATACAATATGCGTAAAATAACACAATTTTAGGAAGACCAAGATACTTGCGTTGTCTTTTAACTTACAGGAGTGATCAATATTAGTATTAAAGCTAATTATCTCTGAAACAAAAGGAATTAATCGAAGTTAATATACGGTAGAAGCCTGGCCAAAAGTCATATGTGGAGATTATGACAGTATACAATGGGCCAAATTTGCATTCTTTTTATTCTGTGGAAAATTTATATATTGATTTTTTTAACGACTGGTTTGATTTTATGATGAAGAATTACACTTGGAAACTTCTACGTCTATAGCCACCGTTTAAGTTGATTGAGCTTATTCTTGTTTAAACTTAGTGTTGATTTTTCTGATTTTTCTGTTAAAAACTTTTAAAGGAGCATACAAAACGGCTTTACTTAGAAATTATTCACAAAAAGAGCACTTTCTCAGCATCAAACACTCCAAATAAACAAGATCTATTTCAAATATAACGTCTAACATGCGCCCAGTATGTAGAAATAAAGAACTAAAATTCGCATTTACATCCCGCGATTGTAACATACTTTGCGTATAACGTTACTCAAATGCTAGCATATGAATGAACGGGCGGGAACAAGCGTGGAAAAACTGCTCAAACTACTTTCCATCGGTGAAGGTCGAGTGAACAGGCGTACCAGGCGTAACAAGTCAATGCAGCGGACGATCCGAAGAAAAAACTTTTTAGCACATGAGAGAGATAAAAACAGAAGGAAGTACGTACGGCACAAAACTTGCACGAATAAAAGTAGGGTTATAACAGAGAGGGCAATGGCATGTCAACAGAGGTAAATAAGACGTTTAACGTTCGGGAACTTTACACTGACACAAAGTCGAATGATGCAATGGCCACAATGGTTAGGAAACCCTGATAGTACTAGTAGTAAAGGGTGCGCGCGCAGTGAATGGATTGTGCAAAACCATTCAAAACGTTTTTGAAGACAACAGAGCGTAAACCTAAAAGCGAAGAACGGAGAAAAAACGAAATTAAAACCGCGTTTTGACGAATAATATTTATATATCTAATGGTGATGATAATTTAACAATTTTAAGGACCACTCTTATATCGTCTCAACAACTATGATAGCACCCTCCCTCGGTAAATGTATGCCGTTTTAAAAGAAAAATGACGACACTGCATTACAGCCATACACTTGTGGTAAACTGCCAATTTTGAGATAGAATTCTGTTCAGGGATAAAGTTACGCCGCATCCCGATTGCTGTCTCACCTCAAAATAGAAAGGTGTTAAATTGACGATTAAAGCTTTGAGTTGCCTATGCTTATGCATTGCAAACGCCGATGGTTTAGATTTTCTGGTAGATTTTCTTTGAGATTTTCGTTTTAAATCAGAACAAAGATAGATGCATTACTGATTTATTAGATGCAGGAAAACATCATTTTCGGTATCGATGGCAATAAAGGTTACAATACCCTATAGGCGATCTATCTTACGTTACTGCCTGCATGACTACATAGTTGACACACTTTCAAAATAGTATCATACAGAAAAGTGTACCGCTCGAGGTGAAAAGGGTATTTAACTCTTCCAATATTTTACCCAATCAAACTGCCAGACTTGACGTTACAGTCTTTGCCTGTGTAGCCAGGGTCACAGGCACATTTATAATCGTTAACCAAGTCAATACATGTGCCATACAAGCATGGATAGCTGTTGCACTCATTTTCCTCAGTCTCACACTTCTTCCCGATGAACCCAGCTTGGCAGCGACACACGTGGCCGTCAGTGGGACTGTAGTCACATCTACCTCCGTTCTTACACAGGCATCGCTCACAGCGGGTCCCGGTCCACAACTTAGGGCACGTGCAATTGAAGGTCCCATCGAGCTGTGTGATACAGCGTCCGCCATGAAGACAGGGGGAGCTGGTGCAAGGGTTGACACGGGTTTGGCAATGGGTTCCCTTGTGGGTGGGTGGACAGGTGCAGTTGTAGCCCCCAAGCTTCGGAGCGCAAGTGGACCCATGCTGACATGGGTTGGACTGACAGAAATCGATTAGGTTTTCACAATACTTGCCAGTGTAAAATGGAGGACATATACATTTGAAGTCACCGAGCTGGTTTTTAAACGTACCGGTAGCGCCATAATCAGTCTCCTTACATTGCGCGCCGCTTTTGCAGGGATTTGCAGAACATGGCGCTGTTGTAGATGTACTTCCTGTGAAAAAGACAAATTGATCCCAGTCAGGGCATGCTTACAAATCATCCTATAATTAAAAGACGAGTGTCTATTTTAACTCATAAAACGAGGAACTATAGTAATTATAAATTGCTGTCAATGTTCTAAATGCATATTTGTTATTTTTTCGCCAACATTTCCCCAGCTGTCTCTTTAAATCCTGTAAACACGAAATGGCTTTTATAACACATCCCTGATAAGTGTGGTAAATTTACTCTCTTAAAACCCTCTTAAAGTGTATTTAGAAGGCACATGCCACATGACATACACGTGAGAAACAAACTTGTGTGTAATACATGTAGCAGAACAGTACTAGTACAAGGTATTATGGGCCATTGTGCCATATTATCTAATTGAGTTTCCATATTTTTTATGATTTCTGAGGGTACACAGCACCTTTGGGTATTTCTACGTTTTATTCCAAAATACTGTCCACGAGTTTGCTTCCTGTTGAATTGATAACTTGTAAAATTGTGACTGTGGACAGTGGACTACTAGCTTGCGTATTGGCCAAATGCTAAGTTTTTAAAAACATATGTTTACATAGAAATATGAACGATCCTTGTGTATATTCGTCTCTATATTCTTATTTGTGACACAGTTAAGCGGATTTTTGAGTATTTTCAAGATTTTTTATCACCTATTATTAATCAAATTTAAATTACCTAAAAGTATACCCAGCCTTCATTCCCAGCCTCGGGCCAAACGTAGTGGATGTTTTGAATCATGGCTGCTAGGAACAGCACTATTATGCCCCCCATGCCCATGGTAAATTTACTGTCTGATAATGCCAATATAAAATATTTATCAGTGCGATATTGATAAATCCATCAGAATGACATGAGCTTTATAAGCTTTATAAACATCTTCAGTCCCCATGTTGTTTTCTAGCACTCACCATTGGGTGGAATACATCCATAGCCCCCGTTAAAAGGTTGGCACATCATTGGTTGTCCTGGTTCTTTTTCTGGGCATGGGTTCGGATGGCAAGGATCTTGAAACCATTAGAAATACACGTGATGCCAAATGTTTAATTATTTATATATACTAGCTCATCACCACAGAGATGATGAGAAAATAGTTAAATCTAATACTAATTAAAACGGAGACCCTAACGTCCCGGGTCAACTCATTTTGAGTTGTTTCCAATGACACGTGGTGACGTTCTGCCCTTGACTGTGTAGAAGACCCTTGCATAAGGTCGAAACGTCTTGATCTCCATTTCAACGTCAGATTTTAGTTTTATTTTCTCATTATCTCAGTATAATTTAACTTGATGAATTAAAGTATTCACTTTCAGTTAATTTCCATTTTCATTATCTTTTCAAAGGTAGAACTACTTGGTAGTAGGTAAATCGTAATCTTAATCCATTCTAGACGAATGATTATCTCCAATTTGAAGATGTACGTACGTATACTCCTTTAGGCAATGCATATATATACTCACCCTTTGTCGTCTTTGTAACCGTCGTGGTGGGCAGAATCTTAGTGGCACTGGCACTGGTAGTTAGCAATACTCCACACGTGTCTCCACTGTAACCAACAGGATAAATACGCATACATATTATCATCTCGTATATAAAAAAAATCAAAGCGTTGTGTCAAAGTATTGTCGTAACTTACTTAGGTTCACAGTAATAGAAGTTCACTGAAGCCTTGATACAATGACAAGTTTTCTCACATCCGATTTCCCAGGTTTCCATATTTTTGTACAAGGTGTTGTTCACCAAGCAGTAGTCTACAAAAAAAGGAGGAAATAGAAAATTTCGCAATCTTTGTAGGAGTTGGTTGCATCACTCTTCAGTCACGAGGCATTTAGGTGAATGATTTAGATCATGTGAAAATGTTACCAAAACGGCTGCTAATAGCAGCACTATCATGTCGTCTTACTTTTGTACATCGCAATGATAAATAGCTTAGATTGACAAGTACTTTATTAATTAAAAAATATATACCCAGTAGCCATGTGGTTTTCTTACACTCACCATTGGGCCGAATACACTCATAGCCCCCGTTAGAGGGTTGACAATTAATTGGTTGTCCGGGTTCTTTTTCTGGGCAAGGGTTCGGATTGCAAGGATCTTGAAAACATAAGAAATACATGAGATGTTTTATTTATTGTATATACTAGCTCATTGCCAATGAGATAATGAGAGAATGATTAGATGTAGTATTGGAAATTACGTTGAAACAACGTCCCAACCTTATCACAATGTCTTCGGGTCAACTGATGTTGAGTTGTTTCCAATGACGCGTGGTGACGTTTTGCCCTTGACCTTATAGAAGATATTGCGGTAAGGCCAAAAGGTCGTGATCTGCGTTTTGACGTAAGACCCAGTATAAGCTTTATATCCTCAAAATCTCAGAATGAATTAACTTGATGAATTAAAGTATTCACTTAGAATTCGTTCCCAGTTCCATTACCTTCACAGAGTTAGAAGAAATTAAATGCTCATTTAAATAATGTGCATTCCCTAGCTTAAAAAGTTTAATTGAAACAAAAAGTAGGTAAATCGTAATCCCCAATTCATTTTATACAATCAATTTTCTGCAACTTGAAGAAAATGTACGTGTACTCCCTTAGCCAATACATATATACTCACCCTTTGTAACCGTCGTGGTGGGCAGAGTCGTGGTGGTACTGGTAGTTAGTAATACTCCACACGTGTCTCCACTGTAACCAAGAGGACAAATACACGTGTATCCGCCCACCTTATCCACACAAGTACCATCATTTAAGCACGGGTTGGATGCACATTCATCGACGTTTGTCTGGCAGTTAGTCCCTGTATAACCAACTGGACATATGCACGCGTATCCGTTTACACCATCCAAGCAGGTTCCCCCGCTACCACAGGGATTAGATGAACATTCATTGACATTGAATTCACAATGCAAACCAATATATCCCGCTAAACAATTGCATTTGTACCTGCCAATATCGTCAGTGCAAGTTGCGCCGTTCTTACAAGGGTTGGAGGCACATTCGTTTATGTTGATTTCGCAGGTTGGACCAGCAAAACCAGAACCACACATACAAGTGAAGCTGTTTATTCCATCGAAACAAAGACCGTTCTTACACGGATTAGAGGCACACTCATAGATATCAGTCTCGCAGTTTGATCCGGTAAAACCGGACGGGCAGGTGCAAGTGTATCCACTGATTGCATCTTTGCGACTGCCGCCATTTTGGCAAGGGTTTGATTTGCACTCATCAACGTTGGTTTCACAGCTATAGCCTGAAAACCCTGCGGGACACATGCATGTATACCCATTCACGCCATCCGCACACATTCCTCCATTGAGGCATGGGTTCGATGCGCATTCGTTTATATCGATTTCGCATAAAGAACCACCATACCCATCCAGACATACACAGTTATACCTGTTAACGCCATCTACACATGATGCTCCGTTCTGACACGGGTCAGATGCGCATTCATCGATATTGGTTTCGCAAGTAGCATCGGTAAAACCCGGTTTGCATGAGCATGTGAATCCATTTATACCATCAAAACATGTTGCACCATTCTTACAAGGATTAGACGCACATTCATCAATATTGGTTTCGCATGTTGGGCCAACAAATCCAGGTTCGCATCCACATGTAAATCCATTCACACCATCAATACATGTTGCTCCATTCTTGCAAGGATTAGACGCACAATCGTCAACATTGGTTTGGCATGTAAGGCCGGCAAATCCAGGCTTGCATGCACAATTAAATTCATTCACGCCATCAATACACATTGCACCATTCACGCAAGGGTTAGATGCACATTCGTTGATATTGGTTTCACATGTAAGGCCGGCAAATCCAGGTTTGCATGAACAAGTAAATTCATTTACACCATCAATACATGTCGCGCCATTCTTACAAGGGTTAGATGCACATTCGTCAACATTGGTTTGGCATGTCAGGCCGGCAAATCCAGGCTTGCATGCACACGTAAATTCATTCACGCCATCAATACACATTGCACCATTCATGCAAGGGTTAGATAGGCATTCATCAGCGTTAGTTTCGCAGATAAGGCCGGCAAATCCAGATTTGCATGAACATGTGTACCCATTCACACCATCAATACACGTTGCACCATTCGTGCAAGGGTTGGACGCACATTCGTTGATATTGGTTTCACATGTAGGGTCGGCAAATCCAGGTTTGCATGAACAAGTAAATTCATTTACACCATCAATACATGTCGCGCCATTCTTACAAGGGTTAGATGCACATTCGTCAACATTGGTTTGGCATGTCAGGCCGGCAAATCCAGGTTCGCATATACATGTGAATCCATTTACAGCATCAATACATTTTGCCCCATTCTTGCAAGGGTTAGATGCACATTCATTGATATTGGTTTTACATGTCAGGCCGGCAAATCCAGGTTCGCATATACATGTGAATCCATTTACACCATCAATACATATTGCCCCATTCTTGCAAGGGTTAGATGCACATTCATCGATATTGATTTTACATGTAGGGTCGGTAAAACCAGGTTTGCAGACACACGTGTATTCATTCACACCATCAATACATGATGCACCATTCTTGCAAGGGTTAGAAGCACATTCATCAACATTGGTTTGGCATGTAAGACCGGCAAATCCAGGTTTGCATGAACACGTGAATCCATTTACACCATCAATACATGTTGTACCATTCTTACAAGGGTTAGACACACATTCGTCAATATTGGTTTGGCATTCAGAGCCAGTATAACCAGGCAGACATTCACAGCTATATTTGTTGACGGCGTCTCTGCATGTGGCACCATTTTGACAAGGCGACGATTTGCATTCATCTATGTTCAATTGGCAGTTATTGCCAGTATATCCACTTTGGCAGGTACACGTATAGCCGTCAATCTCATCTTTACATAAACCGTTGTGTTGACACGGGATAGATGAGCACTCGCCAATGGCAACCTCACATAACGGACCGGTCCATCCACCACGGCAAGTACAACTGTAGCCTTTAACAGCATCATTGCACTTACCCCCGTTCTTACAAGGAGTAGAAGAACATTCGTCTACGTCTGTCTCACAGGTCACACCCGTATACCCCGCCACACAATTACATTTGAATTTGTTGACTTCATCTGTACAAAAGCCACCATTTTTGCAAGGTTGTGAGGCACATTCGTCTATATTCGTTTCACACTGGACACCGGTAAACCCAGCTGGGCAGGTGCATTTGAATCCATTGACTGTGTCAACACATCCACCTCCATTTTTGCAAGGACCAGAAGCACACTCGTTTATATTCGTTTCACAATGGACACCGGTGAACCCATGATCACAATGACAAGCGTATGCAGCCTTAAGGTCGCGGCAAGTGCCATGTTTACACGGATTCGATGCGCACTCGTTAATGTTTGTCTGGCAGTGGTTCCCAGTGAAACCAACATTACAAATGCAAACGTACTTATTTACTCTGTCTAGGCATCTTCCGTTTTTACCGCATGGGTTAGGATCACAATCGTTAATGTTTACGTCACATCTTCTTCCAGTAAAACCAGTAGGACAAGAACACTTATATCCGTCCGCAGTGTTTGTACATTTAATGCCATTTTGACACGGGGAACTATAGCACTCTGGAATAGATGGAAATTGACCATTAGACATGTAAGTTTACAATATAGCATATGGATTATCTTGCCGTCAGTATCCATATTTACTTAATAACTACTTAGTGTGGCTCTTGCTTTTACCATGCGAAACAATAATTAAAATACACAACTTTCGTCAGTTAAATTCGCTGAGAAGTTTATTCATTCATCTAAAAATAAATATACCATACATGTATATATGTCACAGACAAGATTGACGTCCAGGCCGGCAGATGTTATATCCGCCTATTGTCTATAGGAGAAATTGACATCGCAATCTTGCCTGTATTGGTTTTAAATCCACTCAGGCCTGATTGAAACCCCAAGTTAAACACATTTTAAAATCATAAATATCTTAATCACATCCTCAATAGAGCCATTTTAGTTATACAACATATGGTTAAGAAAATCTTGTATTCACTGCCGTGCATATGGGGGTGACAACACGTTTGCCTCACAGAGGGGCCTCTTTCGCTGCATATCAGTCTTGCTGTACTTTGACAAACATTTTATTCATTATACTTTTACATTCTTAACCACAGTCACTAGCTGTTGGTGATGGAGAAGGGCTTGAAGGCTGTGCCATATACCCGGTATTTCACAAAAAAGTGGAAAAATATATGACAGCTCAAGTCTCGGTCACAACCAGCCGTACGGACTCTTACAGCCTATTTGCTTCCAAATTCCACCTGTCACGCAAGTCTTATTTGCGAAATTTGGAGTTCGCGTTGTTATGTACCTTTACATATACATATGAGATGAATGTCCTAAACTTATATACATGTAATTTAGAACGCTTAATTCAAGCGTGGGCTCGAAATAGGACATTACGTTTTAGACTTACTCAGTGGATAACGCAATTCAAAATTCCACGGTTCGTGTCAGATTTACGTAAGGTCGCGCAAAGAGAACCCAAGTCCACATAATGACCAGTTTAATGGTTTATTAGTTGACGATCTCTAACTACATGTTCTATACGTGAAGCCTCCAACTTCTAAGCCGTCTCCCATAGCTCCGTCGAGCGGTCACCTTCGAGTCCTCTTCAGTCTGAACTCCCGATCTTAATTCTAGACATCATTTTATACGTATTTCTTATCTATAGGTGGATTCTGTGCTGCAGTATTTGGCGGTACATACTAATTTTAATTATTCAAATTGCACACGTCCACTTAAGTTACATAACTACAGGTAAGGCCATAAAACGAGTCGAGTGCACAAGCAATCGACTCTAATCAAATTAATTTACATGTCTGGGAATTATATTTGTGAACACTACAGCGCGTACGGAGGATATTGGGTATGTCCAAAAGATTCTACGAAAAATCTCCAAAGAGCGAGGCCGCAAGCGTAAACTTGCTCCCCTCACAATAAGTTCGCAAGTGAGACGTGCGTGGTCCAAGACGCACGTCGCAAGCAATTAAGGAGCAAGTGCCCTTTGCGTGTTGAGTACGGCACACGCCCTTACAGCTAACGCACAAAGTCGAAAGCGTGTTGAGTACGGCACACGCCCTTACAGCTAACGCACAAAGTCGAAAGCTCGACGGGTGTGCGTAGCACGTCCGTGGCCCCCACGCCAGGAGTACAGTTAACGTCGATTGTGCAACGTGCACAACATTTTTCAGAAAAATACAAATGCTCAATTCAGCTACCTATACCTGCATATACCTCCAAAAGGCAAGGGAAAGAGAAGAAAAGTAGGGGGAAGTAGAAAGAAGGGGGCACAGTTGGCAAAACTGACGTACGCCGTCGGTACGTCATCACAAGCGTGTGAGGCAAATGTGAAGCAAAAGTGACGCCGTGCATTCCCTTCATAATTGGTGAGTGCGTTCATGTGCTCAGGTAGAAAGAAAAACTCAAGAAAAGAGTACAATCTCCTCGGTCATCGCAATTTGCAATTAGCGTCCCTGATCGAAAAGACATCTCACGTGGGCCCAGCGACTCGTAAGGCACCTTTACATTGCAAACTTTCCTCTACCTCTACGAACTCCACGGATTCTACTGCACCCAATATTCGCAGGGGACGCACGATCTTAAAAATTGTGCGTCCGGTTGTTAATGAGGCTTTAACAGTTCAGGGAAAATGTTTGTGATGTAGTGTTATTATTACTAACCGATCAATTATCTCATTAAACCTTTCAATTTGTTTTACTCATTGTGCTATACATGTATTTTAACATACTTGTGAATGATTTCATTTTTTTTTGTGTTAGATTTATGTATGTAGTTTTTATTTCTCTCAGCCTGGGTTGGTAAAAAATTACAAAATAAATAAATATCTGAGACAACAAGTATTTTTCCTAAAATTTCTGTTCTGTTTTACCTGAGTTTTCTACACATGACATATTATGGCAGTCATATTGTAAATGTGATGTTTAAATTCACAACCACTTCCTTTTCCTGTTTTACCTGAATTGCCACACCTATAGCTACCCGGTCAAGTGTTTTTAATACTTAAGGCCTTGGGCATTGCCTTACCGTTGGTGCCAGAATTTTCCATTCCCCCGAAACTGTTTCATTCATAGCGTCATGTAAGAAGTTCGGTGTTTATCAAAGTGTTTATCAAAATACATACAGGGCTGTTATACAGCCCTAGGAAAGCTCCTGTGAGGCAAAAAAGTAATAAAAATAAAATTGTTCTGTATTCCCGCATATGCAAGATAGTTAATAAAAGATGTACTAAACGATAGATTCTATAACTAATATTGCTTTACTACGGACGTGATTAATCTATTCACAATTAGTCTTTTCCTAATCAGATTTTAAATCTGCCTGGATTTCAATCTTGCAAGATACACACACACATAAGCGTTCATGAAGCCAAAACATATCGATTTGATTTGATTGTTATGCATGAAATATGTTTCCAATCTAAAACGCTCTATTGCGATGTAGGGTGTTCCATTCACAATAAATATATCAAAGTAAACTGTTACTGATTTTAAACAAAAGCAGCGCATTTACCGTTACGGACACACGTTGGTGCCGACCCAGTCCATTTAGTTGACGATCCTTGAACTTCACATCTTCGCTCGAGATCCCCAGCAATAACTGTGTAGCCAAAGTAACACCTGTAGACAATGCTTTCTCCTACGTTGTTTCGGTCCTGAATCGTTTTGGTTTTAGATGGACTTGAAGGCATCGTGCATTCTGGGTAGTGGGAAATATCATGAAAATGTTTAGTTGCATCATAATGTTGATTAATCCTCCTTTTTATTTTTTTTCGTTAATGTCTGAAAATGACATTGGAAATTATCACCTGTAATTATTTGTGATCTTTTTGGATCGTTTTGCACAAAACACGTAAACTATACCTACGTCTTTTTTCACAGTTGCTGCCACCAAAGCCAGCAGGACATTCACAACTATAACCAGTGTTCTCTGCGGAACCAGAATTCCCCTTCGGTTTAAATAAAGCGGAGACTAACCCCGAGAAAATGCTGTCTTTACTCCGTTTGCGTCTTTTATTACCAGTCTCCTTGCATTTTCCGCCGTTTTTACAGGGGTTTGCAGAACACACCGTTGCTGTTGATGTTGGTCTTGAAGTTGTTGCACTTTCTGTGAAAAGGGTAAAATATTCAATCGATACCATGGCCAGTTATGAATTAGGGCGTGCCTACAGATCAACCGTGAAACATACCAGATAATGTAACAACGGTTTGGAACAAAAGAGGCAGTCAAGCCTACCAGGATTGATAGATTACGTCTTAATAATAATAATAATAATAATAATAATAATAATAATAATAATAATAATAATATTATTATTATTATTATTATTATAATTATAAAATCCTTATATTATGCAAATTTTTGGACGTTTTCAAGAACACCGAGAATAACCCATTATTAATCAAAGTTAATTATACTAATTTTACCACTCTTGATTTTCAGCATTCGTCCAAACGTAACCTCTATGTGTCTTAGCTGTCTAGCAGATGATATAAAATATTTCAATGTCCGTTCTGATATTTTTTTCTGTCTGATAGGCTTTCCATTTAAATCTTATTCACAACAAAACGAAGACTATGCTGAACACCATAAGGAATGGAAAAAAGGAAAACATATTTACCTGCCCGCTTCTCGCAAACAAACCGCCGTAATCCATTGCAGTCATCATCTCGTATTTTTGAAGTGTCGGTTGTTTTTAAATACCCACATGTGCTACCTCTTTCTTAAAGAACACGAAGGCATTTGTGTCAGTTTGGAAACACGTTAATTAGTGTAAAAANCGCACGATGGACGTGCTCCTCACGCACGAACTCCCACGTTTTCCCCATTTCTTTGGCCGTAGACCACAGGTAGCAGCCCGTACGTCCGGTTGGGACCTATAGGCTTAACTTCGTACAGCCGCATCTAAAATAGACATTCGGTGCATATGTCAGTATTTATAGAACAATCCATAATGATAGCAGCTTCAAAGAGGGTCACCATCTTCACCCTTCCTTCCTATATATCCATTGAACATTTTGATGTTTTCTCGTTTCCAAGGTTTGTAAATCACTTCCTCCACAACGAGGCTGAGAGGTCGGATCCATGTGCCTTTCCGATTCTCCGGACTAAGTTCGACCACCTTCCACCGGCTTTTTACGTGGCTGCCACCCACGATGTCCTGTTTGACGAAGGGATGGGTAAATTTTATCTATTAACCTATTGATGAGTTAATTAATTCATTAATTCGCTTTGATAAAATATTATTTTTCATTTAGCTTTATATATAGTAGGTTAATTATTTTAGTAAGTTGACTACATGTACTGGTATTTAAATGCTTATTTAGTGACGAATCTATCTGTGATTATATGTTTATTTTTCTGTTCCATGTTATTTTAAAGGTTCAAAGGGCTTCTTGTGTCTGACCGAACCTAAGATGTTTAAATAAAATCATCAAAGATACACAAAGTTACAGTGTACATCTGACTTTACAGAAACTGTCAAATTACGTATCCATTTTTAGATAATACCACAGTCACGCCATATGTTTGTCTTTTAGAATATGCCCAAAAACTGAAAGAAGCGGGCGTAAAGATTGAAACCCTTATGTTAGAGGGCATCACCCACTGTGTGGCCAATTTCCCAAGTAAGTTATATTTATTTTCCTAGTGTACAATTCAGTATAGCATTTCAGCATTTAGATACACTTAGAATTCTTATAGACATCAATCCATAATGATAACATTTATTATTATTATTATTATTATTATTATTATTATTATTATTTACATCGTTACTGTTAGTTTCCATAAGATATTCAATCCCCACCCATCCAGCCTCCCGAATGCACACACCACTACATCTTTCTGTACTATGTCAAACAGTGCCTATTTGTTATTTTTCAGATTATTACAAAGAGACGGACGCCATGATATGCAGGACGATTGCAAAGTTCGTAAAAAACTATTCTGAATAAACATCCGCCGTATCAGCATTAAACATGAGAAGCAAGGCGTGCTCACATACAGATGTAGCTGAGAATTTACTGTAAGATAGGATCCACTGGTAATTAATTAACAGCGCCATCTATCGTTTGATAACAGCGGGGTATTAGTTTTACATGCATATGCTTTCGACACCCAATACTCAATATTCATACATGTATGCCGATTAGTCCGTCGGGTTTATAGATTGCGATGATTTCGATGGTTTTAGGTAAGGAATGCATTGGTATTTTTTAAACAAATTATATAAAGTTAACACGTTTGACGTAACACGACTTTGTTTTCAATTCAGTCCAGGCAAAGATTAGGTATATATGCCCTGAGGTCTTTCCTTATTTTGTTAAAACGCCGTAGCAAGGGATAATACTTTCTTGGTTGGACAGGAAAATGTTTTTTGTTTGTTTGTTAGTAACTTTGTTTGTTTGTTTTGAAAAACAATGCAGCTACATGCAATTTTCATGTGTAGACAATACACATAGAGGGAATAAATGAGTGATATATCAACTGTTTTAAAATTACGGTTAATGTACATGAGTCTACATGAGCTGTAGTGATCTAACAATATATGATGAAGTAATTCAACATAATTTGATGTTTTCAAAATACAAATAATTATGCAAAACCAACAGGAAAAGCGAATACGTGACATATGTATCTCTACAAGTGAAAACAACTTTGATCTGATTATGAGTAGATTAACCTTTAATACATGAATACTCTTTTGCAAATATGTCGCAAACTAAGGATGCTCCTGTAAATATGCAACAATGCAACATTTCTTTGAAAGATCCTGAGAACCTCTAAGGAATGCTCGCCGCAAACTAAATAAATTCCATTTGCCACGGATGCCAAAACGTTGATCACAGCTTAGGATTTGTTGCACACTTCCTTCGAAATTCCTGACCTGCGGAGTGAATCCACTTGTTGCACACTGAAAAAGCAACGGTCAGTTATTGGTCAACAACTTCGTCTATGCTTACACAATAACAACACGGTGTCAAATAACTTCAAGCGTTATTATACTGAACACAATAATAAAAAAAGAGAACGGTTATCAATGACTTTGCCTGATAGTGAAAAAATGGTTGATCAATGAAGTAAATGCAGAATGCATTTATCATTTTGTATTTCCGTAAATTCCTTAACTGTTTAGAAAAAAGCATTTCATTAAAAACAGAAGCAACTGCAAGCAATCGATCAGAAGGACAGACGCCCCCTTTTTTATTTTTATTTATTTATTTATTTATTTTAAATGCACAGCGTCAGGAGTGCGTCTATGTATAGAAAGTTCATGTTATGCACATACCCCATTTTGATCCCGATAACACTGGGCATGCCGCGTGCCTCGTGCGATAATCTCTAATACCGCTCTGTCAGAGGTTGTACCAGAACACAGCAGACGCCTGAAAAATGCCGTTATCAATGTACTTTGAGGTAAGAATATTTTACTAGTTTTATTTAAAAAAGTAACTTCTCTGGGATCTTCAAAACATAGAAGTAACGTCTTGTTGACAATGCCAGTACTGTCATTACGAGTTTGGAATTTAAAATATTTGAAAAAAAGATCCTACCTTTTCCAGTAACATTTGAACCCCGAGTCTCGTGAATACCGTCGCTCCTCCTGCCTCGACATCTGACATCTAGATACAAATGATTATTTTAATATTTATTATATAGATTATTACACTAAAAAAGAACATTATTTTTTTTAGGGAATCGTCCATCCACATTGCCCACTAATAATTAAGTCACTTACAACGCTAATCATTATGAATATATTAATAGGAAAAGTGAAATTCAATATTTGAAAATGCGCTGCTCATGACAATTAAACTTACGTATACTAACACGGTGGCTATTCTATTGCCCGTCTCTCCAAGAATATCTGGCTCGCTTTTCTAACATAAGAATAGAATTTGTGTCTGCATGAAAATCATTTTGATGTAAGGTGTAAGCATTTTATTCAAATCTTCACATCTATTTAGTATACAACACACGATAAAATAGGGCCTTAAACACAGACACTTTACCCAGACAGCGGCGTGACCCATTGTATTGTAACTCAGGTAACTACAGCCCAATCTTCAGTTGTGTGAAATAGGTCATTCAAAGTAAGGTAACATCAAGGTTATTTTCATGCAATTTTGTCCCTAGACAATTCTGCAGCGGTGGTGAGTATATTGTGATTAACAAACACTGTATATAATATACCATAAGGGGTCGTGTGAGAGTTACGTCTTAGAATTAACCGGACTCGATCAGTATCGAGGGCGAAAGGCGAACTCCATTCACTGTTGAAAGAAGTCTAGTGCTTAGTCATTGTACAATGTGATCATACATGACCTATATATAAACGAATATCATAAACCATGCAGCTACAGCATAAGCTTATATAAGTAAAGCAGAGAGCATTTACTAAGCAATACACGCTGCATGAAAGCTGTGTATTCTTCTGATTAATTGCGATTTGACATAAAGTGAAACTAAAAATTGACATTAAAAATAACCATCCCTGCAGCCTAAGTCCCTTGAAATGCATTCCTTTTTTAAGCAAATCGAGTAGAACGCGATGTCGATGCCAGCAGATTTCGAGTCCTTACAACCAGAAGGCAAAGCCTTCGTTCGAGACCGAATAGACAAACAAGTCAGGGGAGACGAAGATTGGCATGTTACCAGGAAAGAAACGTCAGAAGCGATGGCCGAGGCGACAAAAGAGGCCGCTTACAACTTTAAGGGGACGAGGGGAGAAATCACTATCCCGTCACCGCACGTGAAAGGTATTTTATGGTCTGATACCAGTGTGACAAAAATAGTAGTCCTAGGAATGAAACCCCGGGTTTTCTTTATGATAAGTACAGGTTAGAGTTAGTCTAAGTATTGGGATTAGTACACACACTGGACAATAGAAGTGTCACCCCCTAACTCAGAGTAATAAAAGTAGGCAGATCTTGGGTAATTATAATGCCTGGTCTACTTATGATGTGACTAATGAGTATAAAACCGCTATACCATGGAATTGTATTGTTGGTCTTGTACATGTACAGTAAATGTTATTCCTGTCTTCCTCCAATATGGCAAGATACAGGAAATTATCTAACGGTTATATGTGCAAGTTATTAACCTGAAGAGGCGGAATATAAGCAATGTCAGAATATCGATACAGTTAAATTGTTCAGTCAGAACCGTGCAGAGGGTCTGGTCTCGGTATAGAAACACTGGATCAAGAGACAAATTGCCTCTGATGGGTCGTCCAAGGAAAACTACTGGCCGTGAATACCGACGACTGATTTTGATGTCCAGGTTGTCAAAGTTCGACACTGCTTGTTAGTTGGCAACACAGTGGAACAATTTCACACATAAGAATGTGTCTGTGAAAATTGCTTGGCGTCGGTTACATGCTCATAGAGTGTACAGCAGGGTAGCAAGACTGAAACCTCTTATATCGTTACAAAACAGGCAACGTAGAGTGAACTAGGGTCAACAGATCTAAAACTGGACAGTCCATGACAATTGGTCCTACATATTTTTTTTCTGATGAGTGTTGCTTTGGCCTGACCTCTGAAGACGGACGGGTACGATTCTGGTGAACTGCTGGTAAAGCATTTAAACCACATGCACTGAATTTTCGAACCCGGAGCAGCACATTCAACATGGTGTGGGGCTGCATCAGCATCCATGGCGTGGGTGAATTGATAGTGGTTGATGAAAACATGAATCACTAGAAATATATCGATGTTTTGGAGTCAGGCTTGCTACAATCTATTACTAACATGTTTGGTGACAGGAATTATCCGTTTGTTCACCAGGATGACAATGCTCCTTGTCACAGGCCCAGAGCAGTAGCTGATTGGTTTGACCAACAGGACATTCGCAGGGTGATGTGGCCTCCCCAGAGTCCGGATGCAAACATAATAGATAATGTGTGGAATGATATGTCAAAACTTCTGACAAATGCCCGTCTAACCAGCAGAGAAACTCTGTTATATTCAGTGTTTCATGCTTGGGCCAGCATAAGCCCTGAACGCAACAGACAATTATATGAATCCTTGACTCGTAGACTGGCACCTATTATTAGGTCACGTGGCTATGCCACTAAGTACTAATTTTGGACTTGAAACTGCATATTTTGGTAGAATGTATATTTTGTTCTCATTTTGCGATTTTTTGTGAAATTTGATGTTAATAAAATGATACCAGGAGCATATCATTCCACAGTCATTTATCTCCCCCATAGTATTGGTTCAGTAGGGGTGACACTTCTATTGTCCATGCAGTGTGTGTATATAGGACGAATGTCACCTGTCCAAAGTAATGGGGAACGGACCACGGTTCCTGACGGACTGCCTTACATGTTGTATAGCAATAAAAACATAATTAAGTTTTCAGATTTATTCTTTATTTGTCTGGTCTAAACTTTGCTTGCAAAACCGAGCCCTGTATGGAAATATTGGCTCACTGACGTGTGGTTTGGTGTAGGGGAAGTTGCTTAGAGGTACCACAGTTCCCTGACTCATTGGCATCTAGGGTATTGCACACAGGGCCTGTGTCCTTTGCGCCTCTTGAATTGGCCTCCACTGGGATTATTTGATAGGATATCATCACAGATTATGTTAATGAGGCCATTCAGAATAGGGGACTAACTAGTCCGAGGGTCAAATATGGCCGACTCACTTGAATACTTCCCCACGGGATATCTATATTCAGTGTCTATTAGCGGATTAGACGGCAAACTTTGTACATGTAGTGGGTCGCAATATTTGACCCTCAGACTACTTAGTCCCCTATTCTGAATGGGGCCTATGCTGATACTCGGGTGTTACTTGTCTTGATGAGTGCAATTCCAATACGTGACATACATTTGGATGCATTTGCCGTACTGTATTATAGGATAACCCTTGCCATACTATACGGTACACCTTTCACCAGTTACGCACATAGAAGAAGTTCCATGTACTTATTAAGGCAATACGCCAAGAATAAGTCTCCATTGCCTTCAGGGAGATAGGCTTTACGTTTATGAGGTCTAATATAAAGATAAGTTCGCAAGTTATAAACATTATGCAAACAAATAACGCTGTTTTCATCGGATAGGTTCATAAATATACCACACCAGACGTCATTTTGACCTAGAATATTGTCTTAAATATTACATGGGATCAAAAGCGATATATTATTCAATTAAGAATGGCAAGAATCGTTTGTACTCGTACAAATTTCAGAGGGCCTTCAAGCGTGGGTTTACACCCCGGCCAATTGCCCCAAGAATCCCCCAATCCTTGTGTACTTCCATGGCGGAGGCTGGGTCATCTGCACTTTGAACGATGTGGATACCTTTGTGAAGATGCTTACTGAGTAAGTCCCTTTTAATCTATAGTTTCAATAAACACGGGAAAAAATCTTTTGAAAAGATGTTATTGAAAGATGCCTACTCTGTAAACCATTTTACATTTTGCTAACGATGGAAGTCTCTCTTAAAACATTTAGAAGATACTGACAGAGTAAGTTTGTTTACAATGTGTTAAACACAACAAAATCTTTCCTGAAAATGCTTTTGTGAAGTTGCTGGCTGAGAACGCCTTTCGGTAAAATTCAACCAATTTAAACATTGATTTCATTTTTTATGAAGTCGGTCATTGATTTTTTTTTTACTTCTAGTACCGCCAAATGCATCATAGTGAGCGTGGATTACCGCCTGGCACCAGAGCACAAATATCCCGCCGCCATTGACGACGCCGAGACTGCCGCCAAATGGGTTCTGGAGAACAAGGAATCTGTCGGTAAATACATAATACAAATACTTTGTTGTTAACGATAATAAAAAACGCATTTTAAAAAAGATACGTACAGGAAGATTAAAAAATTAGATAAATTAACGGATTAATTCGGTAATTCATTTAAATAGAAGTAGAAAAGACATCTTAGTTTGTCAAAATTTCTCTGCACTAGGCGGCAGCACGCTCAGCAAGGTTGGTGTCATAGGTGACAGCGCGGGAGGACATCTATCGGCCTGTGTGTCACATGATGTCCCAGGATTGGCATTCCAGGTAAAGTGTTGCTTTCACCTTTTTGTTACGAATATTTTTGTGGATTTTATTTCTGGATTTTTGGCCATAGGAAGTGTTTGAATAAATCTCAATAAAGAACACTAGGCAAACTTACAATAACTGAAAACTAAATTGTTTTCTAAAAGGCTCGTCTTCAATTAAAAGATTATTAAAAAGAAGAAAATGGAAAAATACACACTACAATGCAATTATTTCATTGTGTTTTCTGGTCTGACAAAATGAGAAAGCGCTTTCTCATTTTGTCAGACCAGAAAACACAATGAAATAATTGCATTGTAGTGTGTATTTTTCCATTTTTTATACTAGTACGTGTACAATGTCAAAATTTTACAGACTTCATTTGCATCCTGGATCACCTGTCAATCTAAGTTCAGTGGCTTAAAAATACTGGTACACCGCATTTCCATGTTCTATCCCAGGTGCTCATCTATCCGGTGACGGATATGCGGATTGACACCCAGGAGTCGTACAAACGCTATGCTGATGGCTATGTTCTTACCACTGAGTCTATGTACTGGTTAGTACGAGCAGTAAACATAGGGTGAACCTAAAGCCCCCGTCACACTTATTCGGAATCAACAGAAATCTATGACTAAATGACTAAATTTAAAAATCCGTACTACATTCCGGAAGAAATTTCAAATTGACCTAAATTCTTGTAAAAGTGCCGTTGGAATACACAGAATGCGCTTGAATCCGCCTGGAATGATTCGTGCACATTTCGGCTGTATTCTCAAGTGGAGCTCGAATGTAGTTGGAAAACTGGGAATATCAATAATGCTGTCAGAATGCAGTCGGAATATTTAAATTACACTTCTAATGCCGTACGAGTGTAGCTCGATTTCTGGCTGAAATAGGATCGAGATGCAATCGAGTTGCATTCAGGCTCATTCTAGCAGGATTTGAAGTGTCTTGCCATTTCGGTTCTCCCTCGAATGTGATCAGAATGTTTCGAATGCTGTCGGAATGCCGTGAGAATATTTAGAATGCAGTCATAGTGCAGTTAGAATACTATTCAAATGCCATTCGGTAATTTTCCACTTGGAATGCACTTCGAAAGTTTTTAACACGAGCAAAACATTCCGGCCGGCCAACAAGAATGGGTAAAAATATTTGGAATGCACTCGAAATTTTAAGAATGCTCGTCGAATATCCAGGAACGCACAAAGAATTGTCTTTCCGACGGCGTTCTTGCTCATACCGCCTCTAGTGTGACGGGGGTATAAAACTAGTGGCCAATGTAAAGTGACGATGTATTTGTGCCTCATATGTATGGTATTCTTAAAATTTATCCCCGTATCCAGATTGTAGAGATGATCTTCAATATGTGCATCAGTCTCTAATGAATGATGTCCTTATGTACATGTACATAAGTCGCACTACATGTATAAAGCCTAGGTCCCAAATACGTTTTGGACGCACGGTTTTTAGGTTCCTTGCGTCTGGCTAGGACGTAGATCGCAGGGAAAAAAATCAAGTAATTGTTGAAAAGTTTCTACGTGCTGTTTGCGTCTTCCAAAAGTAGCACGATGGACGTGCTCCTCACGCACGAACTCCCACGTTTTCCCCATTTCTTTGGTCGTAGGCCACAGGTAGCAGCCCGTACGTTCGGTTGGGACCTATAGGCTTAACTTCGTACAGCCGCATCTAAAATAGACATTCGGTTTACAGCGAACGAGTGCATATGTCAGTATTTATAGTACAATCCATAATGATAGCAGCTTCAAAGAGGGTCAACGTCTTCACCCTTCTTTCCTATATATCCATTGAACATTTTGATGTTTTCTCGTTTCCAAGGCTTGTAAATCACTTTCTCCACAACGAGGCTGAGAGGTTGGATCCACGTGCATCTCCAATTCTCCGGACAAAGTTTGGCCACCTTCCACCAGCCTTGTATGTTGCTGCCACACACGATGTCCTGTTTGACGAAGGGATGGGTACATTTTATTTACTTTCTTATTGATGAGTTAATTAATTTATTAATTCTATTTGTTGAAAGATTTGTTTTATTTAGCTTCGTATCTAGTTTTTTTAAATATTTTTTAGTAAGTTGACTATTTAGATGTTTATTTAGTGATGAATCTGTCTGTGAATTTATTTTCATTTCTCTGTTCAATGTTATTTCAAAGGCTCATTGGGCATTTTGTTTCCGATCGAAACTAAGATATTTAATTAAAATCAACAAATATGCTCAACGTTACATTTCATTTTACATAAGTTGCCAATTTATGTATCCACTTTTAAAACAATACCACAGTTATGCCATATGTTTATGTTTTAGAATATGCCAAAAAACTGAAAGAAGCCGGTGTAACGATTGAAACCCTTATGTTAGAGGGCATCACCCACGGTGTGGTTAATTTCCCAAGTAAGTTATATTTTATTTTCCTAGTGTACACTTCAGTATAACATTTCAACATTTAGAAACACTTAGAATTTTGATAAAGATCAATCCATAATTATTGTAATTATTATTTACATCGTTACTGTTAGTTTCCATAAGACACTTTGTTGTACTTTGTCTTGGACATAATAACGTCATTTTGTCCATGTACTATGTCAAGCAGTGCATATTTGTTGTTTTTCAGATTACTACAAAGAGACGGTCGCCATGACATGCAAAAAGATTGCAGAGTTCGTACAAAAGCATTCTGAATAAACGTTCGTCGTATCAGCATTAAAGGAATAATAACTCTTCGTTTCGGCCAAAAAATGAATTTTCCTGGAGTAAACAACAATTTTCCCATACTTACCAATGATTAATGAATCCATTTTTACATTCAAAGTTAGTCCCTGGTTTTTTTCTAAAAAGTTTGGTTTTTTGTTAAAATCTCTTAAGAGATATTAACAGAGTATAGCCATCAATGGAGGTCACGTGGTCTAAAGACCAGCTCAGATATCAGAATGATAGCTATAACTACCGTTTTTGTGGTAAAACAGAATATATTATATTTCTATGAGTTATTCGCAATGTTTTTACTGTGAAATATAGATCTCATACGAAGAGTTATTATCCCTTTAACCACGAGAAGCAAGGCGCGCTCATATAGCTGAGTATTGACTGCAAGATAGGAAGCACTGGTAACTAACAGCGACGTCTATCGTTTGATTATAGTGGAGTATTACCCCTGGTAGTTATACATGCATGTGCTTTCGACACCCAATATTTTAATTCGGCAACCTTATACCGATTAGTCCCTCGGGTTTATAGATTGTGATTTTCTCGATGGTTTTAGAAAAATATATACTTTGGTAATTTTTTTAATCAAATTATGTAAAATTAACACGTTTGATGTTGCACGACCTTGTTTTCAATTCAGTTAGGTCAAGGTTAAGGTAAATGCCGTGAGGTCTTTCCTGATTTTGTTATAACTCCGTAATAAAGGCTAAGACTTTCTTGGTCGGACAGGAAAAATCTTTTTTGTTTGCTTATTTGTTTATAAAAACAGTGCAACAGGAAATACATACAGAGAAAATAAATGGGTGATATATCATAAAATGTTTTTAAATTACGGTTAATATGCATAATTCTACATAAGCTGTAGTGATTCAACAGTTTATGATCAAGCAATTCAATATAATTTGATGTTTTCAGAATACAAACAATTATGCAAAATCATCAGGAAAAAATTGAATACGTGACATATGCATCTCTGCAAGGGAAAACAACTGTGATCTGATTATGATAGATCAATCTTTTATGATCCATCAAGAAAATATAATATTTATAATATATAATAAAGTAGTTGAGATGTGGTATGCAATGTAAAACCGGGTAGACCCCATTCCCATACCTAGATCGATCAAGCAGGAT